GGGATGGCAGCCCTGCTTCGGTAGCCCGACGATCTACACGCGAAGTCGAGCACTTCACGGAAGAACAGTTTAACGAGGACCCATACCGCACATCCTCGGTCCCTACGCAGACTAATCCAAGTGGTCACCCACCCGCACACTGACGGCAGTCAGTGATGCTTGACTTCGGTGATCTGCTGGAAACCGTGTCTTAACGATCAGTCCACTGCGGGACCTTGCTTCAACCTTAAAAAAGGTGTTAAATCGAATCAGGTAACCGTTTAAGTTGAACCATATTGTGTAATAATTTTATGAAGTTCGGTAATGTGATTCAACTTGGTTCAGCAAATCAAAGATGCTGCAACTCTGAACAATATTATGACATAAAATGATTCGAAACTTCGAAGAGTGTAAATTGAGTTGATTTTAAAATAAAATGCTTCGTGTCTCACAAGTTGAAGGAAGATAAGAAAAAAAGCACATACAATTAATTTACATATTTATTTGGCATGGAAAACAATTTGAAAATAAAGAGTAAAACTTACAATATTGTATTTCTACATCCTTAATTAATGTCAATGGATGGTGTCAAGTTTTATACAATGTATTTTTTTTAACCTCATCGCAAACAACACAATTATAAATAATTTATGAAACATGGAAAAAAAATATGAATGCGCGGCAATTTGTTTGAAGTGCTTTAACTGAACAGCGTACACTGTCTTCCTACATTTACGTCGTAATCCTGCACTTATACAGGTCATAAATGAGGGATTCTGTGGCATATACGTTATGAAAGCTTATACATCAATCTCCTGTATTTTTATTTGCCACTGTGAGTTGCATAGTCTCATTGTCTCATGAAAGCCCCTTCTCTATGCCAGTTTTTATTTTCATCGTAGGGCAAGAAACTGCTACGAACTTTTTCCGAAAATTTGCATTTTCTGCAAGTGTAAGTAAAATAATGTGTTAAAATTATTGTTTAGAAAACTGTACCTTTGCTTAAATTAGAACGACCAATATAGACTTGTGTAATATAACATAGATATTTATCGTCTTCCAGAAAAAAAATAAAATTTGTTGCAAAATGGTTGTTGTCTAATTTTTTTACCCTCTTTATTCGTGATATTCACCTGAATTAGAATTGAGAACGATTCAGTTTGATCTGTAGGTTAGAATTTCTGATTCTTAATTAAAATAATAAAAACAAAAATATCGTTCAAATGACGAAACAACTCAAGAAGTATTTATGGGATCTCTCTGGTCCCATATCTCAAAAATAAACTCACCAACTTAACAAAATTAAAAGTGAAAAAAAAAAAGAATTCTAAAAAAATTATCAAACAGCAGCTGTCACTATAGCAACGCATACAATGACGACGCATGTGCACTGTTAACTATTACTCTTGAGCACAGTTGAAAAGTGCCATGACGTCCAAATAAGATGCGCGCGCCGTCAGACCCAAAACAGCACCCATTTTGTCGATGGTTAATAAAGAATAAAATTTGCTTTTTCGCCTAAAAGTTATGAGGTAGTCTTAACAAGTCAATTCCTTATTAGAATTTTATTAATATACATCTGTAGAAAATATGTATAATTGTATGGTGCATAAATATTATTTATCTTATCGAAGTAACTAAAAAAAGTTACAAAATATTTAGCAAACTATATTAAATAAAGAACAAATTGCATCACAACCGTTTCTAGTCTTAGAGATATTTATTCCACAAGTTCGATATTTTCCTTTTGTCTTAGCATCAGTGTAAAAGAAATCAGCTGTGTGACAAAGAATAACAATATTATTCTAAACTATCTTTAAAGCCCATTTTTTTTGCCTAATATTTTACTTCAGTGTTTGTGCAAGGCTGCAAAATATTTTTGAAACATCTTCTAGTGTTCAAGCAAATTTGCAAAATATTTCTAAAATTCCTTTTAGTGCTTGAGCAAACTAGCAAGTTATTTCTGAAATACATTAAATTCATTTAAGTTTTTGAGCGAAATTGTGAAATATTGTTGGAATTCACTTTAATGTATGAACAAACTTGCAAAACATTTCTGAAAAAGACTTTAGTGGATGAGCAAACTTTTAAAATGTTTCTGGAATTCACTTTAATAGTGAAAAAATATTTTTGAAATTCATATTAGTGTTTCAGATAACTTGCAACACTTTTGTAAAAGCAAATTTTTGTGTTTGTGCAAACTTGTAAAATATTTTCGAAATTCATTTTACTGCTTCAACAAAATTGAAAAATATTTCTGAAATTTTTTTTAATGCTTTCGCAAACTTCAAAAATAATTCTGAAATCTTTTAATTTTGAATTTAAGGTAATCATGTAGTATGTTATTTATCCATCATGGATTTTCACTTGATTTCATTTCCTTGGTCCTGGATCTAAAACCCTGGATTAGCTGGGCTTTAATCAGATCCGAACTTGAAAACGATACTTCGCAGCAATTTCTTACTCAATGAAACAAATGAAGTACAATAAATATTTTTTTTCTCCCCAAATCAATAAACTATGTCCTCGACCGGGAAATTTCGCACCGCGAATCAAATATTTCACCATATAGTATCATTGTCTCTTTTTTATACAAGGATATGAGTGTGCAACTGCATTATCATGTAGAAGTTCATGTTGGTAGTGCCGTCATTTCTGGTGATTCTGGCCCACTCTCAATCTCAACCATTGAGCCGTCATCAGACAAAGGAGAAGATGGCATTTCATCGCCATTTTGCCATGCATGTTTGTTAGAATATTCATGGCCACCGGTGTGAGGATGATGATTCTTCGATTCACTGGATGCATTTGAAGACGAGGATTTGTGATCAGATTGGCGAGTACTTTGTTCTTCTTCCTGCTTCTGTCGTTTGTGTTTCGTCCGTCTATTTTGAAACCAAACTTTCACCTGAAACAAAATATTTAAATATGAAATTCACAATTCAACAAAAAGCTTCAAATATAATTAATTTTGGTTAATTAATAATTCTTAATTTACTCTTTAACGTTAAAGTGTTATGTTATAATCAAGTTTAACTCACAACACATTAGTCAGTAAACTAATGTGTTGTCAGTTAAAGTTTCATACACGGTGTTTAGTAACAACTACCCTTTACATATAATTTAAGAATCCTTTATAAAATTGAACGAACCGATCTGACGAGATACTATTTATCTTCTTTCCTNAATACTATTTTTATCTCAAACTATAAGAGTTATGGTGAGAAAATGGACATTTGGTTTCAATACTATTTTTATCTCAAACTGTAAAAACTATGGTGAGAAAAAGGACATTTGATTACAATACTATTTTGATCTCAAACTGCAAAAACTATGGTGCAAAAAGGACTTTTGGTTTCAATACTATTTTTATCTCAAACTATAAGAGTTATGGTGAGAAAATGGACATTTGGTTTCAATACTATTTTTATCTCAAACTGTAAAAACTATGGTGAGAAAAAGGACATTTGATTACAATACTATTTTGATCTCAAACTGCAAAAACTATGGTGCAAAAAGGACTTTTGGTTTCAATACTATTTTTATCTCAAACTATAAGAGTTATGGTGAGAAAATGGACATTTGGTTTCAATACTATTTTTATCTCAAACTGTAAAAACTATGGTGAGAAAAAGGACATTTGATTACAATACTATTTTGATCTCAAACTGCAAAAACTATGGTGCAAAAAGGACTTTTGGTTTCAATACTATTTTTATCTCAAACTATAAGAGTTATGGTGAGAAAATGGACATTTGGTTTCAATACTATTTTTATCTCAAACTGTAAAAACTATGGTGAGAAAAAGGACATTTGATTACAATACTATTTTGATCTCAAACTGCAAAAACTATGGTGCAAAAAGGACTTTTGGTTTCAATACTATTTTTATCTCAAACTATAAGAGTTATGGTGAGAAAATGGACATTTGGTTTCAATACTATTTTTATCTCAAACTGTAAAAACTATGGTGAGAAAAAGGACATTTGATTACAATACTATTTTGATCTCAAACTGCAAAAACTATGGTGCAAAAAGGACTTTTGGTTTCAATACTATTTTTATCTCAAACTATAAGAGTTATGGTGAGAAAATGGACATTTGGTTTCAATACTATTTTTATCTCAAACTGTAAAAACTATGGTGAGAAAAAGGACATTTGATTACAATACTATTTTGATCTCAAACTGCAAAAACTATGGTGCAAAAAGGACTTTTGGTTTCAATACTATTTTTATCTCAAACTATAAGAGTTATGGTGAGAAAATGGACATTTGGTTTCAATACTATTTTTATCTCAAACTGTAAAAACTATGGTGAGAAAAAGGACATTTGATTACAATACTATTTTGATCTCAAACTGCAAAAACTATGGTGCAAAAAGGACTTTTGGTTTCAATACTATTTTTATCTCAAACTATAAGAGTTATGGTGAGAAAATGGACATTTGGTTTCAATACTATTTTTATCTCAAACTGTAAAAACTATGGTGAGAAAAAGGACATTTGATTACAATACTATTTTGATCTCAAACTGCAAAAACTATGGTGCAAAAAGGACTTTTGGTTTCAATACTATTTTTATCTCAAACTATAAGAGTTATGGTGAGAAAATGGACATTTGGTTTCAATACTATTTTTATCTCAAACTGTAAAAGCAATGGTGAGAAAAAGGACTTTTGGTTTCAATACTATTTTTATCTCAAACTATAAAAACTATGGTGAGAAAAAGGACTTTTGGTTTCAATACTATCTATACTATCTTTCTATTTAACGAACTTTTCTTACAGATACACTTTCCCTATCTCCTAAAATATTTCAGAACATTTCAAACTTGTTAACGCATTTTACGGGGGAAGTGACATTGAATTGATTTTCTGAGCCACTTAACTTTTGGAGAAAGCAATAAAATTCCTTTCCCTATTTGTTTGCATTTCAAACGAAAAACTTAGACAAAAACAGATTTTGTCTGTAGCAAATAAACTTAAGAAAGCATGTGGTAATGTATGATTAAAATGACTTTTATAATAAATGCAGTTATAACTTAATACATAAATTTAGCTTTTTTTTAGTTGAAAATGTATGTAGCATGATGGTGTAACACTGGATACTGTTTTGCTCTATTCTTGCTTTCCATGCTGATTTCTTTTATGGTTAAGATTTATGAAATAAATAGTAGACACTAGTTTACAAGATAAAGATTTATCAATTTTTTTTAATTATGTCTAGTGCTTATGAATTTAAAACCTATTTAGCGTTGTTTAAGTATTTCAAAAGATGATTTTCTATTTAACGAATTTTTCATCTAACGAACTTATCAGGATTTAGCGATTTCGTTAAATAGAGATCCGACTATATGTTAAATATTTTCGTTTCCGAAAACTCCAATGTTGGCGCGTTCTGATATCGTCTATAATTGTCTCCATGTATGTTTGTTGTGGCTGCCTTCAATGTTACTTTTTATCTTCCAGAAATTTTAAGAAAATTTTTTGTTTTGTGATTAAGCCGTTTTACTTTAAAAATTACAAAATATTGAGGAAAGAAAAACCTGAATTCAAAAAAATAGATAAATAAATAAATTCGGGAATTTTAGCATTTTGATACATTTTTTTTTTCTAATAGAGAAAGAAAAGAAAAGTGATGTTTTTAAAATAAATTAGATTTACTAAACTGAAAATTAACACAGAATTTTGAAAAAATTAAATATTTTGTTTTGAAAAAAAAAGGGGTCTTAATTGGGGGTTAAATAAAGGGTTAAATTTTTAGCTGAGTTTAATCTTTGCATTATAAGTAAGCTATGTGAAAGGCTATGTTTACTTAGTTTAAATAAATGTACGTAACTAAATTTCAGGATTAAAACTTCGTAAAATAATATAGAGACGAATCCAATTTATTGAACGAAAATACGAAAATGCATAGCTCAAGTCATTATAATTTGCTTAGCATTATTATAACCATGAATAAATTTCTAACCCCACACAACTATGCACTTCTTTTGTACATATTTTATTGCAATTTTATTTTCCAACCCTAGCAGCTGCAACAATGAAGCCCGATGCTTCCATTTTACTCCAAATTTGCATTAACAAACCAACTTAACCCCAACGCAATACTAGCATTGGTGTGAAAAATAACGATAATAAGCTCCCGAATCCTATTCACCACCCCCCAAATCACAATCCCCATTGAAAATTCGTTGGTAAATCTCTTCGATCAAGGGATAAACATCGTCAATGGGCACCCAATTTATTTTTCATCGAATCAAATCCGGAACCGGCCTTCCCCCCCTCCTCAATCCCCAAAGCGACAATGAATAAAAATCAATGTCTAAAAAATTTGGGAAGATTAAGCCATCCAACCAATAGCCGATCAAGATAATATTTGTAGAAGGGGCATTCACAAAAAGCCTGCCTTCTGATTCCGTCGCCAATAGATGTGAATAGGGACCCATATGTTGTGAAGTGGGCTCTCTCCTCCTGTCATTGTTTGACGCCGTGTAAAAGTTGAAACTGATGAAAATCCTTGCAAAACTCCCAACACGGATTGTAGAAAGAGTGTGGAGGCTACAGTTGGACTATCAAACATCCGGATTCAATGAATGGAAATTGTAGAAGGGGATACGATTGTATAATAGGATTCGGTTTATAGAGATTCCCATAAAGGGGCCCATTCTTGGTTTTGAATGGTAAATTTAGGTCCTTATTGAGTATTTTAGCTTTAAAATAGATACGCGAAAGGGAAAGAGGAAATAAAGTTGTTGGTCTCACTTTTCTTTTTCTTCTTCTTTTTTTTCTTCTTTTTTTTCTTTCAAAATTTTGTTGTGCAACGTCTTGCGGAGAAATTAATCCAAATAATTGCACAGTTCCCATCATTTTTAATTTTTCAAAACTTTAAAGTGTGCGAGGAGCATCTTTGAGGTCAAAATGACCACTTTCAAACTTCACGCGTGGTTCTTCTATTTATGATTCTCTCTCCCTACGCAGCACAAATTACATGAGCAGCTTTTGCGGCCTTGGAACTTTTGTTTAAAAGCAAAAAGAAGATATCAAAAATGTTCATTCTTTTTTAAACTTGACTTATGATTTTAAAATTAACATAAATTGACTCGAAAAACAGATTCTGGAATTGCTAAACAACCTGTTTCGAATGATTTAAGACAAACACAAGAAACCATTAATGATAAGCAGAATGTTAAAAGAAAAAGTGGAGAATTTAGTTGCTAACTGAACCAAATAAATACTAAATAAAAACCGAAATATGAAGTCTAGATCTAAAAAGAGAAAGAATTTCAGCTAATTTTCAAGAAAAATCAATACGCATTTATTTATTTTGAAGACTATGCTGGTTTAAATTATTTAAATTTTTGAACCAACACAGATTCCGTAATTGCTAAACACNCTGAATCTTGATTGACTCATTCCATTTTTATGAAAAATCTATTCAGCGTTGAACCATAATATTGTACAATTGTGCTTTAACCTAAACAGGGCTGTAAATTGTACCATTGTTTGACTTCAGCAAGTCATATAGTATTATAGTTCTAAGCGCTTCAAATTTTCTTACAGTACAAAATGCTGGACACAATATTCCACTTGACACAAAAAAATAATCTAGGAAATGAAAGTAAAAGCAGTTATGAATTAATTTATGTCAGGCCTCATGAAGCACAAAGGAAAAAAAAAATTTTTTTTTTGAAGTTTTACTTATAAGTTCTCACATTTTCTAAAAAATTAAAATTTAATTAATTTCCTTCGACGTATTAAATGAATAAACTTAATCACAAATTCAAATTTCGTTACGTGTTTAAAAGTATCAATTACTCTTAAAACATGCTTTAAAATCATTTAAAATCTCTTATTAAATCCTTTTTCGCGAAATTCCCATTTAATTAATAAGTACATGGGTATAT